GCCCCAGTGTCTGTGCTCTGAGCACATGTTTCTGTAGTGGAGGTAGGAGGGGGGGAGAGGGGATGCTGCATGTGGCCTGTCCCTCTGCTGAGAGCTGAACAGCTCCTGAATATGTCTGGATTGCTGGGGGTTATGTGCCCGCGGAGAGTGGGAACAGGAGCCGGTGACCTTCCGGTCCGCTTTCCCCATCATGTAATGGCTCTGTCTCACCCGCTCCTCTGCTAATGTTGATGCAAGGTCTCTGGCTGCAAGGAGCTCCTGTATCACACAACCATCTTGGATCTTGGCAGACCACGCCCCCATAAATTTCATTTATGTACAGCGTTGCATGACCACGCAATTGTCAGTTAAAGCAATGCAGCTCCGTATCACAAAAAATGGCCTGGTCAGGAAGTGGGGTAAATCTTTGGAGGGCAAGTGGTTAAAGTACAGCTAAAGATTCCTGAATAACATTCTAAACAAATACGAAATCCATATATGTTTACCGCTGCTCAAGGTAGAGAGACTCCCATTCTCCAAGCACAACTCCTCCCGTAGGTGCTAGCCCAGCTTGTGTGCTGCATAGATGAGAATAAAGGACGTCCGATTGGCTGCACTCCAAACAACCCACTTTATTGAACTAAGATAAAACCAATACAGACAATGGAAATACAGTGGGGGACTGGCAGGTAAACATGTTTCAGGCTAAAGACAGGCTTATTCATTACCCCAATGGGACTTTTCAGGAGGAATAAGTGAAAACTGTAGGTGCAGATAGACTTATAAATAAGCACTTTAGTCCACGTTGTTTTCATGGAAGGCCAAAGTTCTGGTTTTGTTTGAATAAAATGTACGGTCTGTAATACTTTAGTGCACGTGTTAAAGAATACTATTAGGTGTGATTTCATTTAGCATTTCATTCATGTATTTGATTTTCCAGTTAATGTTTGCATGCTAATTTAGTGTTTCTTACCAGTGTTCACAAAAAAAATATCATACACCCATAACAATTAAATGAATGACTCTTGCTGGATGCACGTGTTAAAGAATACTATTAGGTGTGATTTCATTTAGCATTTCATTCATGTATTTGATTTTCCAGTTAATGTTTGCATGCTAATTTAGTGTTTCTTACCAGTGTTCACAAAAAAATATCATACACCCATAACAATTAAATGAATGACTCTTGCTGACCACCAGACCTGTAAAGAAACAATGACAGCACAACCAATAGTGTCTCTTGTTAAACTGTCAACAATTAACTTGTCAAATTATACGCAGATGTTCCTATTACCTTGTTTCAAATATAAATTTAGCTTTGGATTATAACAATGGAATATGTTCATCCAGAAACATAATACTACGGAAATCCATTGTATATAGCTTGCTATAGAAGTAGGTAACAGTATACTATTTATATAGTCACAAGAAAATGAAACACTTCTGAAATATGTTATAAGTTAACTCTTAGGTGCTTGTTTCTCAAAGTCCATACAGTCTGTACAGTTCTTGCCTACGGACAAAGTAAGCCACTCTAAGTATACATTTTATTTTCATGGTAGAAGGATAAGCTAAGAAATTTTTTTTAACAATTTATTTTTTTGGCTCTATAACCATGCTACAACCACATGCCAATAAATTCATATGCATTGAAACCTCCTGATTGAGCTTACTCAAAACTGTATGATGTTTTAAAAGGAAATTGAGACTTATATGTATAATTGCTTTGTAGTCTATTAAACGCTACCTACCCTCATAATTTGGAATTAATGTCCAGGAAATATAACAATGATATGTGCCAACAATAAAAAAGCATGAACAGACAATTGATTTTCTGGAATTGCTGGAACCAAAAGAATCATTGCTGACAGTGTTATCCCCAACTTTAGTACATTACCATGAAAAAGAACCAATTTGGACATATTTTCATGATTTCATATGATATGCCATAAGCCAGACTTCTTGATGTTGGATAGTCATCTATCATAGACTGCAGTTGCAGATAATCAGATTTTTTTACGACTCTCTTCTAATAGCTGAAGGGGTTGCAGCGTTCACTGTAGAAGACGTAATGGTAGCCAGATAAAATTCTTATGTGCACTGGTAAAAATGCCTACTGGTAAAACATCTTATCTTCTTTATTCCTTCTGGCGGTTTCTATGAGAGCAGTTTGAAAGCTCTAGTCAACATTGGATTGTTTAATGCAAACTAGATACTTTTTGGGATTAGTATCAAGACTTTTCAGGATTGGTAGAAATATGTCAAATGATAAGTTCAGCCCACCAACAGACACTTTAAAGATGTGAGTACGTGGCCTTCTAAGTGTGGTAGAAGCAATACAAAAGACATCTGCCAAATAGTTTTAGGATATTACAGGACTGGATTGCTGGATTCAAGAAATACATTTTAGAAGCACTATAGCTATGGGACAAACAGCTACTAACCTATGAACAGCATGTGCAGGGGCATAGCTATAAATCATTGGGGGCCCAATGCAAAATTATTTTGGGAGCCCCCTCACCATACAGAAAAACAACATTGAAAACCCTCCTATTACCACTGTCATTTGGCACAGGCCCCAAGCTACAATATAAATTAATTTATACCATAACAAATTTTGTTTTTAATGACATCTCCTTGCATTAGTTTCCAATATGATAAAAGGAAGAATGGAGGAAGAATGCCGATACATTGCTAGTCAGTGGGTAGAATTCTCCCTTACATTGGTGGTTATTGGATAGAAGATTGTTTATATACTTTAAAGTTGGTAAAAATGCATAAGGGGGCATTTTTTTTTTTCTTCCTCCCACTGATTGCCAATGTGAGGGGACCTTCTTTATTCCACTGAACAACAATTTAAGGATGTATTGTTCTTCCCAATAACTACCCATTTAAGAAGGTAGGTGGTAAGTGGGATGACAAATGCCCATTGTGAATTGATATTTAGGCTCTTTGCAGTGCATCATTTATTGTAACTAACACAAACACTAAGGCTTATCTAACGGTGATTTGACTGTTCTAAAACAGAATCACTATGCACAGCAGAATGAATAGTAACCTGGCTTCACACATCATTGTTGGATTAGAGACAAATGACATTCTGTATCATTTCAGCCGTTGACACTTTGTCAGAGAGCATCGCGTAGAGCCAAGTATTTCCTCTGATCTGCATAGTGATCCTGTCCCTGGCAATTTGTCACTACTGTGACATGGCCTTAGCACACATACATTAAACACATGTAGCAGATTTTGCAAAAATCATAGTTTAATAAGATGAAACAAAATAATTGGTTCAGCAGCAATTCCTGGCCAGGTGTTGCTTAGGCCCTTCAGATGTAGCCTGACAATTGACCTTTGAATACATTTTAATAGTAAAAGTGTAAGAGATACAGGATATACTGTATTTGCTATTCATTTTTTGGAACTATTTTGGATAGAGTAATGGAGGGTTATAACCACTGTCAGGTTATTTTTGGCATTGGTGTCCTATCTGACAGATTTCCATTTACTGCCCGTCCCATTTCTTCTACAGGAAGGTATAGATATTCTGCAGCCAAAAACAAAATACCCTCCCAGCAACTATAGTCCCCCGGCAGCATCAACAGATCTCCCCACAGCCTGGATCAATAGACCCTCTAGCAGCTAGCAACAATAAACCACATCCTTCAACAGTAGATCCCTCCCAGCAACAATTGACCACAAAGCAACATAAGACCCACCCCCAGCAACAATATATCCCTCACCATCAAAAATAGACTTCCCCTGCATCAATAGACCCCCTGCAAAAATAGATCCCCTCCAGTGACCATAGATCACCCAGCAGACAGCATCGATGGACCCTGCAGTACACTCCACCACCCCTTGCCATTACATACATTCTGTGCTGGAGGTGTTGGAGGTGCCAGAACTGTATTTTCCCATGTTCCTGCCGAATAAAAACCCCTGCCTACAGGTAAGCTTATAATAAAGCTTACCTGTAAGTAAAATGAATATCTCCTAAACATGCACTGTTTTGGAGATATTTAGAGTTTTTAGCTGGTGCATGAGCTCTGAACGAAGGGCATACCCGTGCCGTTCCTTCAGAGCACTGTGCCCTGGCCCATTACTCCCGTGCACATGCACCAATCAGATGGCTAGAGCTCACGAACCCAGAAGAAAGACCAGGTGAAGATGAAAGCCTCTGCAGAGGTGACAATGCACCGCTGGAAGGGTTCGTTTTACGGTAAGTTTTACATAATGTGCTAGTATGCGATGCATACTAGCACATTATGCCATTGCCTTGCAGGTATTTTTTTTTTATGCGGTTTACTATCACTTTAAATCAGATCAACAGAAAAAAAAATACTTCTATCTATCCAAAGTAAAAAATGAGGGTTGGATGAAAATGTGTAACTAACACACTTAACATCAGTTGTGTAAAATAGCCATATAAAAGTAATGCCCATTTGCCATGACCAGCAGCATACGTGACTGAAGCTTACACACATGTTGTGCCTCAAGTGATGGAGATTGCAGATACTGTATGAGTTTTAAGTTGACTTTTTACATAGGTCTATTGTGAAAAGCTTTGCAAAGAAATATCCCTTGTTCAGAATGAATAATAATAGTAATATTAATCTGCACAACACGATGAGGATAAACTTGGAATACAAGGGTCTTAAAATACAGCTTTAGATAGATAGATAGATAGATAGATAGATAGATAGATAGATAGATAGATAGATAGATAAAAAATAGCTTAGAAAGATGGTTCTAGAAGGTTGTTCTCCATACTTATCCTCTCCACTCACATCAATGATATAACTCCCTCAGTTATTGGTCAAGGCAGACAATTAACTTGTAGAATGCTGTTTAACCGCCTCCTGCCCGCCCACCATATAAGGTAATGATGGGCGCAAGGCAGTTCTCGCGTTCTGGGAGGACGTCATATGACATCCTCCCACTCTAAGCGAACATGGGCGGCTATGGGGGCGTGGAGCGTGGCGATCAGTGGTGCGCTGTGTCCCTCGGACACAGCGGATCACCGATCAATGGAAAGAGCTGAAGATGTCGGCTCGGTCATGTGATCAGCTGTGTTCAATCGCAGCTGATCGCATGTAAATAGGGAAATGCCGGTTATTGGCATTTCTCTCCTCATGAGCTGTCACGATGACAGCTCGAGAGGAGAGGAGATCCGGTAATCGGCATTCCTCAGAGGGGACATGTACACTGATCATCAGGGCACTGATGATCAGTGTGCCCTGATGATCAGTGTAACCCCAGCAGTGCTACCTGTCAGTGTCCATCAATGCCACCTGTCAGTGCCCGTCAGTGCTGCCTATCAGTGCTCATCAGTGCTGCCTATCAGTGCCACCTAACAGTGCCAGTCAGTGTCACCTATCAGTGCCAGTCAATGCCACCTATCAATGCCAGTCAGTGCCACCTATCAGTGCCAGTCAGTGCCACCTATCAGTGCACGTCAGTGCCACCTATCTGTGCACATCAGTGCTGCCTATCAGTGCACATCAGTGCTGCATATCAGTGCCACCTAACAGTGCCAGTCAGTGCCACCTAACAGTGCCAGTCAGTGCCGCCAGTCAGTACCACCTATCAGTGCCAGTCAGTGCCATATATGAGTGCTGCCTTTCAGTGCCCATCAGTGATGCCTGTCAATGCCCATTAGTGCTAACTACCAGTTCCTCCTCATCAGTGCACATCAGTGCCACCTATCAGTGCCCATCACTGCAGCCTCATTAGCGTACATCAGTGAAGGAGAAAAATCACTTCTTTACAAAATTGTATAACAAAAACTAAGAAAAAATATTTTTTTTTCAAAATTTTCAATTGTTTTTGGTTTGTTTAACAAAAAATAAAAAACCCAGAGGTGATTAAATGCTACCAAAAGAAAGCTCTATCTGTTTCAAAAAAATTATAACAATTTCATATGGGTACAGTGTTTGTCATTCAAAGTGTGACAGCGCTGAAAGCTGAAAACTGGCCTGGGCAGGAAAGGGGTATAAGTGCACTGTAGGCAAGTGGTTAAACAAACGTAGGCCCAACAACCATTCTCATACAGTATATTAAACTGTAATTAGAAGTTCTGCAACTAGTTTGTAGTATGATGTTCATGTTGGTTTATTGTATTATTCTCCCTTGTGGAACTATTTGGTTATGATGTAATTTCCTTCTCTGTTTTAAAAAACAAAACAAAAAAAGGCTCAGTCAGCAGCTTGCGAACATGTTATGGGCCAAGCTACAGCCAGTACTAAATACTGCTACAAATACAGATACAACTCAGAATTACAGCAAAACAGTTTGGGAAAAAGAAAAAAAAGCAGCTAACAGCGCTTCATCAAAATTTTAATTTGCTAATCTGACAAACCAGAACTACCATTTCTGGAAATTATTATTATTATTATTATTATTATTATACAGGATTTATATAGCGCCAACAGTTTGCTCGGCGCTTTACAATATAAGGGAGACGTACAATTACAATACAGTTCAGTACAGAAGGAATAGGAGGGCCCTGCTCGTGCAGCTTACAATCTAAAGGAAGGGGGAGATGATACAAAAGGTGATAGCTGTGGGGGATGATTTGGTGGAGGTGATTCAAGTACAGTTCTTATGTGGAGGTGGGGTAGGCTTCCCTGAAGAGGTGAGTTTTCAAAGATCGTCTAAAGGCAGGCAGGGTGGGGGCTGACCGGACATGCTGTGGTAGGGAGTTCCAGAGGATGGGAGAGGCTCTGGAGAAGTCCTGGAGGCGAGCGTGGGAGGAGGTGATGAAGGAGCTAGAGAGGAAGATACAGTATCATGGGGGAGCGGAGTGGGCGATTTGGCCGATATCTGTGGGTGAGGTCGGTGATGTAGCTAGGGACAGTGTTGTGGATGGCTTTGTAAGCTGTGGTTAGTATTTTGAATTTTATACGTTGGGTTAGTGGAAGCCAGTGAAGGGCTTGGCAGAGAGGGGCAGCATTCGCTGATTGGTTGGTAAGGTGTATGAGTCTAGCAGCAGCATTCATAATAGACTGAAGGGGGGATAGCCTGTGTAACGGTAGACCAGTGAGGAGGAAGTTGCAGTAATCGAGGCGGGATATAACCAAGGTGTGAATAAGTTGTTTTGTGGTGTCATTGGTCAGGAAGGGGCGGATTTTGGAAATGTCTCGGAGGTTGAGGCGGCAGGATTTAGCCAGTGAGTGGATGTGGGGCCCAAAGGAGAGGTCAGAGTCTATGATTACACCTAGCACCCTGACATGAGGGGAAGGACCAATGGTTGTGCTGTTGATCTTAATGGTAAAGTCGCGAGTGGGGGATTGGGGAGGAGGAAATATTACAAGCTCAGTTTTTGAAAGATTGAGCTTGAGGTAGTGATGTGACATCCATGCTGATATGTCACTTAGTAGATTTGTGATACGTGAGGAGATTGAGCTGGGGAGTGGAGAGATAGATTTGGGTGTCATCAGCATAGAGGTGGTATTGGAAGCCATGGGAGGTTATCAGTTGGCTCAGGGAGAAGGTATAGAGAGAAAAAAGGAGGGGCCCAAGAACAGAACATTGGTGTATCCCAACTGAAAGGGGAAGAGGAGTGGAGGAGGAGGAGTTGTATGTGACACTGAAAGTACGCTGAGAAAGGTAAGAGGAGAACCAGGAGAGAGCAGAGTCATGGAGGCCGATGGAGTGGAGTTTACTGAGGAGGAGCAGGTGGTCGACTGTGTCAAAGGCAGCGGAAAGGTCAAGGAGTATGAGTATGGAGTAATGGCCGTTGGTTTTAGCAGTTATTAGGTCATTAGTAGGTCAAATTTAAAATGAAGATGCTGCTGATAAGAGAGGGTATATGGAAGTAAATACAAGAGCCCACACCAGACAAGCCATAGTGAAGACGTGAAAATCCAACACACTTAATGTAGTTGAGAACAAAAATAGAGTCACATGAGCCATGGTTCAAATTAAATTTCAAGCTGTCTTATTAGATAGAACCATGAAATATGGAAATATCTGGCAGCCATGGGTGGACCATTATCTTCCCCACATTTTGATGTCTCCTTGCTGCTCTCCCATGCTGATGAAATTTTTGTCCTTGACTTCTTTTGGCGTCTTAGACTTCACGTCCCATTAGACCCCCAGAATTCCCCACCCCCCATTCTCCTACCCCTCCACACCCACACCCCACTTTCCCTCTGTTTTCTTTCAATAAACTGATCCTTGGAACTGGATTTATTCTGATATTCTCTTCTTAGGTAAGCTAACACTCACATCCAGCCTACTCCTCTTTGGTTATGTTGTTACCTACTCTGATGGGACTTAATGTAAACTGTTGTCATTTTGTCATGTCCCACAATGTTGTACTGTATCTGTATTACCAACTGACTACATGGTTGTGCTTTATGTAATCCAAATATATTCTTGCTACCGAAAAAAAGACTTTTATATAGCAACGCTACTACTCAGTGGTCTCCCATTCATTTGTTAGAACATTTAACTGTATTTCACACTAGCTGATATGAAAGTCACAGTGATTTCCAGAGCAAATTTGCTCTACAATTTCCCAGCATCCAGGTATGACTTCAAAGTGATTTCAAAGTGACTTTACTTATAAGAAGCATTCCTAAGGGACTTTGATGGATCAGTGTTTTTTTTTAACCCTCACCTCTCTTTCCTGATCATCCTTGCTGCCTAAAAACTTCCTCCCAAACACATTCCATTCACACCAAAGCATAGCGGAAATGCATGTTCCCATTTATTTCTTTTGTGTGTTTTTCAAGCGTAATCTTTTCTCGCATATAGGGTAGGCCATTCACTTGAATGGGCTGCCCTATGTGTGATAAATGTCCCGAAAAGCTCTAGAACATTTTCAGTCGTGGAGTGCCACATGTTTTTCAGTGTGCGTTTTGGCAATTTTGTAGCGTGTTTTGTCTCGCAGCAATACACAAATCTGCTAACCATGATAGGGGTGTCATTAACAATTAGGCTGTATTTACATCTGCATGTTTTCAAATGCATGACAGCCTGCACAGAAAACCTCTGCTTTGCTACGCATTTCAGAAATTCACTGCAATCGCAATGTGAGCTTCCGAAATGTGCAGCAAATCACGCAAATGCAGCCTAAATTACAATGCAAGCTTGGCACACATTTGCTGCGCATTTTAAAAATGTATGGCAAAGTGTGCACTTTCTTGCAAGTTTCTATGTGTTCAGAAATGCACAGATGCAAACAAATGGTAATGCAAGTGCGATGCACATTGCAGCACATTTTCAACACTCCTGGCAAAAGCACGTGTTTTTTTGTTCCGGATTGCCATGCATTCAGAAATGCGGAGATGCAAACAAATGGTAATGCAAGCATGGCACACATTGCTGCGCATTTTGAAATTGCAAAGCGAAGCATTCATTTTCTGTGTGGGGTGCCACACATTTGGAAAAATGCAGATGCAAACGAAGCCTAAATAGCACTGTGAGTGCAACATGTGTTTGGTTGGCATTGCTGCATGTTTTAGAAACGTGCATGTTTTCTGTGTGGGTGGTGTGCATTTGGAAGCGTGCAGATGTGAATGCAGGCTAATTGTTAATGATATCCCAATTGCAGTTAGCAGATGCGTGTTTTGCTACCAAAAAACATAAAGCTCCATGAGCTATTTTGGGACATTTTGTCACACATAGGGCACTACATTTATGTGAATGGGCTGCCCTGTATGCAAATCATGTTTACACGTGAAAAACACGCAAAAAACAAGTCAGCGGGAATGTGCATTACTGTTACGCTCAGGTGGGAATGAGATGTGCTAGAGAGGATGTTTTTAGGCAGCAAGGATGACCAGGGAGGAAAGGTGAAAGTTAAAACAAAAAAAAAAACACTACCTCAGAAGTTACAGCACATTTGCTGCAATTAAGACAAATTCCCAACTTGCTAGCTATTTTACACTCAAGTCTATGGGAGTCGTGCTGCACAACAATCACCCAGAAGTAGTGCAAAAACTATTTTTTTTTTTTATAGCGACTCCACGTGGCAATTAAGACACCACCTATTAAAATCTATGTGTTTTTCACTTGACCTGCAATTTTACATGTCCCCAGAATGTTGCATGTCATTAGAAAATCGTCCTAGTGTGAACCAGGGCTTAATGCTCATGATCATGAATTTATGGATGAAAACAGTGAAAAAGAGAAAAGGCTCTGGAACCAGAATATGCACCAACAACCACAGCATGGTAAACACATGATTGTTTTGAATGAAAAAAGGACACTTACACAAACTGAAGAATTTGGAAAGCTAGAATTAACCACCAAAAGAGATAAATTAAAGCGGAGTTCCACTCACCCTGTCAAAATATAAAAGTCAGCAGCTACAAAAACTGTAGCTGCTGACTTTTAAAAAACCGCCACTTACCTGTCCCTTGGCCCCTGGTGTGTCCCCTGCAGCCCGTTTCACCTGCCGTCCTGTATTCCAGGAGGCCAGCATCTTCAGTGCAGGCAACCGGCTGTGACAGCTTGCGACTTCACAACCGGGTA